GGACGTCAAGAATGCATTTCTCAATGGAGACTTGCAAGAGGAGGTGTACATGGAGTTACCCCTAGGTTTTTACAATACAGAAGTAGGAAAGAAAGTTTGCCAGCTGAAGAAGGCTTTATATGGGCTAGAACAATCTCCAAGAGTTTGGTTTGATAGGTTTAGATTGGTCTTGGTAAAGTTTGGTTACATGTAGGCTTAATCAGATCACACTCTCTTCTTTAAGAAGACAGACTCCTCCTTGACCTTACTTGCTGTCTATGTGGATGACATTGTGGTGATGAGAAGTGATAATAGTGAGATTGACTCCCTTAAGCAGCATCTTCACAAAGAATTTGAAGTGAAGGACTTGGGGGAATTGTGCTATTTCCTAGGAATTGAGGTAGCTCGATTTAAGCATGGCATTTTTATCTCTCAAAGAAAGTATGTCCTTGACTTATTGGAAGAAACTAGAAAGTTAGGAGTAAAGCCTGATGACACACCCATTGAGTTGAACCATAAAATGTGTAGAAGGTGGAGAACTTCTTGAGGATAGGGCTATGTATCAATGGTTGGTTGGGAAACTTCTTTATCTTTGCCTAACACGACCAAATATTTCATATGTTATCAGTGTTGTTAGTCAGTACATGCATTCTCCTAGGACCACTCACCTTCTTGCGGTGGAAAGGATACTTGCTTACTTGAAGAGATGCCTAGGGAGAGGCATACTCTTCAGAAATAGTGGTCGCATGAAGATAGAGGTATATAAAGATGCTGATTGGGCTGGATGCATTGATGACAGAAGATCTACCTCTGGGTATTGTGCATTTGTAGGGGGAAACCTTGTTTCCTGGAGAAGCAAGAAACAAAATGTTGTTGTTCGCTCCAATGCTGAAGCGGAATACAGGTCCATGGCCAATGGTGTTGCAGAAGTGTTATGGCTAAAATCTTTGCTTGATGAACTGGAAATTGACTACGAGAAACCACTGATGCTGTATTGTGACAATCAAGCAGCAATTAACATTGCCCACAACCCAATACAGCATGACAGGACTAAACATATCGAGGTGGACAGACATTTTATCCAAGAGCGAGTTGCATCTCAAGAAGTGTGTCTTCCTTATGTTGCCTGAATATCTACTCCCAACTTGAGGGGGAGTGTAGAGATAGCTGATTAGTGTGTATGTGGTCCCGGCCCCACACTTTATTTTTACTATTTATTTCTTTATATTGCAGTTATGGTAGTTGGGCTGGTTGGGCCATGCTTGTTTTCTTTTTATTTTAAGTAAGGGTATTAGAGTAACTCTACTCCTTGTAAAGTTATAAATATAAATAAGATTAAGTGGGGCGGCTAGTATGATTGAACCGCACCCTTTCTTTCTCTCCTTCTTCTTCTCTTCTTCTCTTCTCTTTTTCTACTATTCGTAACCTTGCTTTCTCTTCTTTTTCTACTGAATTTGTATCAGAAACAATCAGTTTCTGATTTATTTTTATCCAAGTGAACCAAATCATCTCTGTATGTTTCTTATGACCAGCCCCAAAATCTAATAATCATTTCCTAATTATAATTTGGTAGTAAGGCAATTAATGATAAAAGCAAGATAGGTCAAAACTGTGAATAGCTATGGAATGTTTGCGATCTTTAAATAAGTGACTCAAGTATACAGAAATTCAACCAGAACAAAATACAGATTACAGGCACATGCGCTTCTTCAAGGCTTATGATGTTGAGAGTGAGACTACAAATTATACAGGCTTGGGTGAAGGTGAAACTTTAACTTATTGACTATGATCTGAGTATGCTCATTGCACTGATAAGCCCTATTTCTGGTCATATGATCATTAGTAAATAGACATGTTCATAAGCTGGGCTCRGGCTTAACTTTTATTAAAATTTGAATAGGCCCGGCTCGAAGCCCGAGCTTGAAACAATGTAAAGTCAAGCCAAGAAGCATGGCCCGTGAACAGGTCTATTAGTAAACTTTACAAACAGGACAATATCTAGCTGGACAAATTTGAATGTTCATTTCAAGGCTTAAGAATTTTTTATTTATTCTTTACAGTTGACTTTAGTTGCTGATTGTTGATATATATTAAGATGGGAAATGTCTTATGTTATCAGTCAACCCTATAGACTGAACAAATCATGTTTGGTTCTTAGGTTCGGTTGGAAGATACTGAATGGTGTTTTCCTGTTGAAATCATGAAAGAAGACACCATCTCTATGGTATTGAGGAAAAACAATGGTGCAAGGATATTCTTAAGGACTGAAATTCGAGGCTATGAGGAGGGATCACGATTTGTAGTTGTATTCCGTTTAGGATCCACAGGTGGCCCTATCAGGTACATTTCTGCTTCCTATCATTTGCAAATTACTTCAGGATAACACCATTGCAAGAATGGTCCACACCATATTATGTAATTTACTACTCACTAATGAAAACTTTGCAGGATTGAGAACCGAACAATGAGCAAGATGATCAGAATTCGGCAATCTGGCTTTGATGATGATGCCTGGATCCAGTTAGAACCTCTGTCAACTACAAATTTCTCTTGGGAGGATCCATATGGTCAAAGATTTATTGATGCTGAAATTAACAGTGGGAATAACATTACTGTCCACAAGTTCAATTTGGATAAGATTGTTGAATATTCCATAGATGAAACAACACTAGGATTAAAGTTTCAGATCTTGGAAATAGGTAATATCAAGGTTGTTAGGTTCAATGATGACAGGTCATCATCAAGTTCACCTGATGAAAGTAAAACCTTAGCATCCTCTGGAAATTGGGGTACTCAGAGAACCGAGGAGAGCAATGTTGCACCTATAGAGCTTATAATTGAATTGGGAACTGTTGGGGTTTCTGTAATAGACCACCGACCACGAGAGCTTTCGTATCTATACTTGGAGAGAGTTTTTATTTCATATTCAACTGGTTATGATGGTGGAACTACAAGCAGGTAAGACTGTTTTAGGGATGGTGACTCCATAACTGATCAAAATTCTGATTAACTTCATTATTGTGCCTCCATGATTTCTTGAACTTCTGCCAATAAATTTACCTAAAAACTGCCTGATCATAAAAGTTATTCATGGTTTAATCCTTACTTTCTTCTGCAGAACATAAGGGCAACTAGTGATGATTATCAAGAATTTCAACATTTGTTCTATGTAATTTTGGACAATGTCTTTCTTAAAGTGCAATGTTAATTTCATTGACAAACTCAGTAGGTAAACCAGTAACCCAACTCCTGTCTGAAATATGACTGTTCATGGAAATGTCAAATTGCAAATATGCAGGAAACTTTAGCTTATATTTAGAAGTAATAAAAAAATAAAAGAAGCGCAGGCCCTTAGAACACTTTCAAATCATAATGCCACTATGGACAACCAGGAATTCATGATCATGGCATTACTTTATTCTGATAGATGTGAAAATTTTTTCCAATTTTTTAAATTTTTGTTAAAATATTGACTTGATTAAAATTTGTCCAGATGCAACATTACTGAGATGAAAAAGAGGAGAAAGGAGAGTAAATTGATCTAGCAAACGTTGCAAGTCAATCGACACTCCTGTTAATCTACATTAAGTTAGTCCCATTAGGTCAATTATACTGATTGATAGTATATATATATATATATATATATACATATATATATAAAATATAAAGATTTTTATCTTTCAATTAGAATATTGATTCCAATTGGGAACAGTATCGTGGTGCACAATTTTTTAGGGATATGGCCTCGTATTTCCTGTCTCTTGGATCACAGAAAAAGAAGTTAAAGTATAGAGGATATATAGCAGGAAACAAAAACAGAAAAACCTTGGACTGCATTCAGTCCCCCCCTGCACACCCATTAATAGTCTATTTTGAGTCCCTTTGGACTCCATTCCTAGCTAACAAATCCGCTAGAGCATTAGCTTGATCTTCTAACACATCAGAATAAGGAATTCTCCACAGTTTCTAATAATCTGACCTCCCTTAAGATTTTGCAACATTTCCTAGGGCCATGCCTTGTGTTCTGTCCATTCAACCTATTACCTGTGAGTCTTGTTCAGTTTCTATCCTCTCAACTCCAAGAGACTTTGCTAACCTGAATCCTTGCAATAAAGAGAACAGTTCAGATCTTATGGAGCCTCCATGCCCAACTGGACCTGAGTACACATGGAGGATTTCACCTCCATGATTCCTGAAAATTCTTCCAATACCATATATACTAGACTTCCAATAGAGCACCCATTAAAATTTAATTTGATGCTTTCAGGAATGAGAGATAATCACTGTTGAATAGGAGCATTTTTCCTCTCCGTCGAGGATGCCACTGCAGCAAACTCTTTAGTATGTCATCCAAAGTATAAGATTAATTTTAATCACGATATCTTTCTTCTATGTGGTTTAAATTTTGCAGACAAAAATATTAAAACAATGCTAGTAGCACCACAAGGGGTTATGAGTTGTTAGATCTTGTTCTTCTGTGATTTAAGGACTCCATGATGCCCAAGCCCATTATATGAATATTTATCAATAAATTATGAACAGACCACTATTACCTTTTATTTGTTCCTTATTACATTAAGTTGGACAGACTGACCTTTTTTGCACCTTTCACCTATGCCAGGTTCAAGATCATTCTTGGTCATTTGCAGCTTGACAACCAGCTCCCTCTAACATTGATGCCTGTACTTTTGGCACCTGAACAGGCAACTGAAATGCACCATCCAGTTTTCAAAACAACTATTACAATGAGGAACCAGAGTAGTGATGGCACCCAAGTCTACCCATATGTTTATATACGGGTAATGCTTCATCAAGAGTGCTGCTTTGATAATAACTCTATATATAGAGATAAACAAGCTGTATTTTCATGTATTCATTGTCTCACCCAAAGGTATAATACTAGGTAACTGAAAAGTGTTGGAAGATTAGCATTCATGAACCAATTATTTGGGCCTTTGTGGATTTCTATAATAATCTTCAGATGGATCGGATCCCCAAAAGCTCTAGCATCACCGGAATTGATCCAGAGATAAGAGTAGAGTAAGAATCTCATTTAAATCTGGCTTTTTTCATTTTTTCTTTTTGTTTAAGAGGTTACAAGAAAAATCAGTTGAAGTTGTTGATTATGCTAAAAATGTAATAGCAGTAGTGTATAGCACAATGATTCAAGATGATTGATCACTTGAATGTAGTTTTATTTCATATGGTTATTATCTTTGGTAAAACTTGGATATGCTTCTCAGGAGATTTTGTCCTCTGTCATTATTTGCAGACACCAGTGGTTAGATGGTGCTTTAATGCAAAAAAGACAGATACGCTAATAATTTTTCCTTATTTGTTCAGCCTAATAGATGTTTCAGAAGTAAGGTTAAAGTTGTCACTGGAGACAGCACCAACTCAGAGGCCCCACGGGGTTCTAGGTGTTTGGAGCCCCATATTGTCTGCTGTCGGAAATGCATTCAAAATCCAGGTCAGGCTGCTAAGCTACTTGCATTGATTTCATAACGAGGCCAATCTTCCATTGTATTAATATTAGGTGGAAGTGATAGGATGCTTTTAACCAAATCCTTCCAGATTTAAACTTATAAATTTAAGAAAAAAGGAAATTGTATCTGTAGAAAAGGCATGAACTTATTTAAATAATATGAATTTCTTCTCTTAATTTTCTTATTACTTTAAAAGAGCTTGTGAAATTTCAACTCATTATGCTTTTTAGGGCACAAATGAATCTATTGTGAAGTGTCATTAAATACTTTCTCAATGGCACCCTCAGTAGCAAACCTTGAGTTGGATATGCTAGTTTTCCATGGATACTCCTAAGATCACCGGAAATGCAGTTTTCCATGGATAATCCTTATGATTTCCATGTATGTGTGTGTGTATGTATGTATGTATGTATGAACAGAATATTCACTTTACTGAGTAGTAACTATGCAATCTTATCATTTAAGCAATGCATGCAGCTATGTTTTTCACTAATCATAACTCCTAAAACAACTCTAATGACTTGTTATTAATCGTACTAAAACTAACTAAATGTAAACACATCAGAAATTACTAAAAACAGTAAATCATTATTTTACTATAAATGGTAATATTGGAAATTGGTATAAATGTAAGCCCAAAGTTTACCATAAATAGTACTTTTGAAATAACAGAAAATTCTAGAAAATTAAATCCCTATTCTTAAGACACCTACAACTAGAATATAATTTTAAAATCTCAAAAATACCAATATCCATATCACCCAAAAATTGTAAAATTGGTACAGAATATAATTTTAAATCCCTATTCTTAAGACACCTCCATGAATTCTTTCCTTCAATATCTGCATCATTTTGATTGTTTTTTTTTCTTTTGATAAATTACAACACCATTCTGATTCTCACTGTAATAGTATTCTTTATATGGTCCTACTGCTCTAGATAACATTGCAATGCCTGCATCTCAGGTTCATCTGAGGAAGGTCATGCACAGGAACAGATTTATGAGGAAAAGTGCTGTTATTCCTGCTATTGTGAACCGTATCTGGAGAGATTTGATCCATAATCCTTTACATTTGATATTCTCAGTAGATGTCCTTGGTATGACAAGTTCAACATTGGCTTCTCTTAGTAAAGGATTTGCTGAACTCTCGACAGATGGACAATTCCTGCAGTTACGTTCAAAGCAGGTATATATTTATTCTTATTTACCAATCCTGGCTGAAAATTATATACTGTGGATCTAAAGAGGATATAATTTGAATATGCAACCAGGTGTCATCAAGGAGAATCACTGGGGTAAGTGATGGAATTCTTCAAGGAACTGAAGCTCTTGCACAAGGTGTAGCTTTTGGAGTGTCTGGTGTTGTGACAAAACCTGTGGAGAGTGCCCGACAGTATGGTCTTCTAGGGCTTGCCCGTGGTCTTGGACGAGCTTTTGTAGGATTTGTAGTGCAGCCAGTGAGTGGGGCATTAGATTTTTTCTCATTGACAGTTGACGGAATTGGTGCAAGTTGTTCCAGATGTTTAGAGGTCTTAAGTAATAAGGCCACCTTTGAAAGAATTAGAAATCCTCGGGCCATACATACAGATGGTATAATTAGGGAGTATTGTGAGCGAGAAGCAACCGGACAGGTATATGTCAAATCCCCTCCCCAGTTCCATATTGTAGCTCAATATGTACTTCAAGCATTTAGGGTTCTACTATTTTAATGTTCAAATGCAGACTATCTCTCATGAGTAAAATAAATAAGCATAACTGAAGACATCCATATAATTGCTAAGCATGTAAACTTGATTCAATTACAAATTAAAAAAGGCTACCTATTGGTCCTAGCTATCTAGGGTCTTAAAAAGGATACAGTCCTAACCTTTGTCCTTTTTTGCACAAAGTGGCCACTCTTTTTCAAAATTGAATAAGCATTCTCATGTTTGCCAGCCCGACATTTTACCATTACATCAAGTAAGGCCCTTTGATTCAACTAGATATTAATTTTAGAAATTTCAAATCTTAATCGGGTATCCTCAACATAGAGGCTGCCTACGTGGATGAGAAAGAAAATGACAAGTTGACAAGTTGATAATTATACTCCACTATGATGGAGCAGTGAGCAAGAGTCAAAAGGACGATGTACATTATCTTTTATTACCCTCTATTATCCATAAGAGAAGGAGAAGAGAAGAGAGAAGAGAGATCTGAGAGCAAAACTCATAGCTGGCGGCACCAGCTTTTGGTATTTATATTAGAGCAATCATAACATAACAAAAAGGGAGGGGGAATTACAATAGTACCCCTGCGGTACTTAAACAGAAAGAAATAACAGAAAAAAAAAAAAAACAGCCTTTTAACACTCCCCCTCAAGTTGGGACTTACATGTCTATCATGCCCAACTTGTCACATAAATCATTATGCCACAAGTGATGTAACCCTTTTGTGAAGATGTCCACAAGTTGGTCTTCGGACCTGACATAGGGGGTGCACATTTCCCCTTCGACAACCTTTTCTTTGATAAAATGCTTGTCTACCTCAATGTGCTTGGTTCTATCATGCAGCATTTGGTTAGCAGCAATGTTTATGGCTGCCTTGTTATCACAATATACATAGGTTCATTAACTGTAAACCCCAGCTCACTCAACAATTTTTTTAGCCACATTATTTCAACCACTCCATGAGACATTGCTCTATACTCAGCTTCAGCACTAGACCTAGCCACCAAATTCTTCTTTTAGCTTCTCCATGTGACTAGGTTACCTACCACAAAGGTATAGTAGCCGCTGGTAAACTTCCTATCATTTAATGATCCTTGTGAAGAAACTCCCTGATGTACCATTTTATTGTAGTCCTTATTGTATTAATTTCTCTTATTTATTATTATTTTCACTTCAGCCCTGCAAGGGCCTCTCTATAAATTCTCTAAATTGTGTTGCCCTACAAGAGCCTCTCTGTAATATCTTTAATTTTACTTTCTATATAAAGGACCCTTGAGGTAGGGTTGAATCATCCATTCTTCATCCCCAGAATTATGTATTCTACTCTAGGTCTGTTGACATGGTACCAGAGCAGGCTGCTCTGTAATCTCTACTCTTTTCTTGCTCATTCATTGGGCATATTAGGGGTTTTTGTTCTCAGGGTGTTTTGGCTGGTGTTAGGGCTGTTCTCTTCAGTCCTAACCCTAGTTCCTCTTGGAAGATTCTGTCTGGAAGGATTTCTGAATATCTATGTTGCCCAGATCCTTCTTTTTCTCTCAGAAAATCAGTTGGAACTGACAAGTCTTGGAGGAGTTATGGTCTTCTCTCCTGGGCAGCAGCAGATTTTTTTTTTCTTCCTCCGTCTGTGTACTGATTTCTTCAGGATGGCAACAGCTTTGCTCCTTCTGGTTCAGTTTTGAACAGTCACAGATTAAGGAATCTCAACAGTCTGGCTTCTTCCTCCCTCAACAGCAGCAGTTTCGGACCTGTCTTCTTTGGTTTTTTCATGTTTCTAATTGAGTAACTGCAACAGACATCAGGTTCTCTCTTCAAGCTGATTCGGAAAACTTCTCATTTCAGGTTGGTGCATCATACTATTGTCATAATCGACTGTTATCAGTCCTTGGAACCCTAGTTTTGTGCTGCCATAGGGTATTTCTTCTCTTGGTTATCAGTCTTTGGAACCCTAGTTTGTGCTGCCTTAATTCTGTGGTGTTTATTGGAGGATTTTTTATTCTTCTATAAAGGTTCTTGCTGAAGTTGCCTTGGATTTGTCTGCATTTCATGCTTCAGCCCTCATTTTACTTTTCTTAAGAATACTGTGTTCGGCTGAAGTAATTTTCTGCCTTGTTCATTGCTGATTTGAGTGCATTACCAACATCAGTGCTGCTATTCTGGGTTGTTTTTTTTTGCTCATTTATGATGGCTGAAAATGTTGACTTTCTCCTTGTAAAATTTGATGGAACTAACTACAATATGTGGAAGTTCCATTTTGATTTCTATGATGAAGGAAAGGGTCTTGAAGGTTGCTTGAATGGGACTATATGTAAACCTGATGAGGCTGAGGCTGATAGTAAAGCCTATACACAATGGAAACTAGACAACGGAAAGTTAGTCTCCTGGATTTTGAGCTCCATTGCGCCTCATATTAGTGTTCCCATGAGAAGACTGAGGACTGCCTATGAGATGTATGCCTATTTGAAAAAGGTATATCATCAGTCCAATATGTCACGGCAATACCAAATTGAATCTGAAATCTTTTCCTATTGCCAGGGGACAAAAGGATACAAGAATACTATTCAAGCTTTATTGATCTCTAGGCTGAATTTGAACTTGTTCATACTGAACCTTCTAATCCCGTTGAATGTGTCAAGTATTTGCAGAAACATTTTGAAAATAGGAAAATTAACCAATTTCTCATGAGGCTTAGACCTGAGTATGAAATAATCAAGTCAAATATTTTGAGTAGAGGAACTCTTCCAGACTTAGACTCTGTGATGGGAGTGTTGTTGAGGGAAGAAACTAGACTCCTAACTGCTGCAAACATAGAAGGGAAGCATACAGATTTAGGGATTGATACTATTTTTCTTGCACGTGGGATTAGAAATCTGGTGGAAAAGGCCCTTCTAAAACTTGATGCTATGAAAGTAAAGGATATGGACATATAGCCTCTCATTGCAAAAAGAATAATGTTTGCACATATTGCAAACAACCTGGACATATCATTCCAAATTGTCCAATTCATCCACCCAAGGATGAGTATCCAATACCCCTATTGCCAAGGGAGAATCCTCTACTTCCATGAATAAGGAAGAGATACAACAATTGGTATCCTCTGCCATCTCATGTGCCTTTTTTGCTATCGGCCTATTTGGTGAGCTCTTCAATTTTTGCTCTTCTCCCTCTCACGTTTAGATAATTGATTCTGATGCTACAAATCATATGATTGGGGCCTATCCTGAATAGGCTACTTTGCCTTTTGAAATTATTCATAGTGATGTTTGGACTTCTTCTATTATTTCTCGGATGGGATACAAGTATTTTGTGTTATTCATTGATGATTGTACCAGGTACACTTGGATCTACTTTCTTAAACACAAATCAGAAGTTTTTCCAACCTTTAAGCTATTTCATAACATGATTTGAGTTCATTTCGAAGCAAATGTGCAAACCTTACTTTCAGACTCAGGGGGGAGAATACAGTGACAGAGAATTTTTGGCTTACCTGAAACATCATGGAATTCTAGTCCAACGATGTTGCCTAGACACTCCTTGGCAAAATGGTATGGCAGAAAGAATGAATGGTCACATTCTCAGTGTTGTAAGGACTCTCCTACAAGAATCACATGCACCTCCCACATTCTGGGTTGAGACCACTAGCACTACAATATATCTGATCAATTGTATCCCATCTTCTGTGCTTGCTAACATTTCTCCTCATCAAATGATGTTTGGTTCCCCCCCAGATCTTTCTCATCTTCATGTCTTTGGGTGTCTATGCTTTGTTCATCTTCCTCGTGAACGTTCAAAGCTTTCAGCTCAATCTGCCATGTGCGCTTTTGTAGGGTATGCCCTAACCACAAGGGATTCCTTTGTTACGATCCCTTAGCACATCGTATTCGTATTTCTCGAAATGTGATTTTTCTTGAGAATATCTCCTTTTTTTTTTAGGAATTGCCAAGTTGTATGCACCCTCTATTTCAGTTTTGCATGATTTTGAACCACAGGATACTCCATCATCCACTACCGAGAAGGAACTTCTCATCTTCTCTCGCAAGCGGGTTTGTGGTCCAGCTCCTATGCCTATGACCCCTCTTCCTTCTGGTCAGGATCCCTTGCCCATCATGACAACTCTGTAAGTGATGCCCCAATTTTAGATTCCTCAATTATACCTCCTATACCTTTACGCCGTTCTGCTCATCTCTCTAGACCACCTAATCGCTATGGTTTTACTTCAAACCATAGCTCCTTTGCTGTTTTGACCTCTACAGATATTCCTCGTTCTTACCAGTAGGCTAGTAGCAGCCCTCAATGGCAAGAAGCCATGTGTTTGTTGGAACACAGCAGCCGAAGAAGAAGAAGAAGAAGAAGAAGAAGAAGAGAAGAAGTTTTGAGAAAGGCGGCATACTCACTTCAGCCGGCCCTACAATCTTATATAGATGATTATAAAATAATGTTACATGAATGGACTAGAATGCCCCTGATTAGTGATGGGACACCTAGACAAATAAAACAAATAAAACATTAAACAAGTTTAGGCCCAATAACTAAGAACTTAAGACACAAATATGACTAACATAAACACTAAAAACAGCCAAACCAACACTCCCCCTCAAGCTAAGCATGGATGTCAGTCATGTTTAGCTTGCCAAGTAAGTCTGAGAACTTCGTTGAAGCTAGTCCTTTAGTTAACACATCTGCAATCTGCATCTCGGAAGGAGTATAAGGAATGCAGAGTTCTCCTGAAATTTCATCAGGTTTACATATAAACCAGCTAAAGTCACAAAGGAAGTATGTCCTTGATCTCCTTCGTAAGGTTGGGAAATTGGGGTGCAAGCCAATTGAAACTCCTATTGACCCCAATTCATAAACTAAGTGCTGATGGTAGTGATATTCTTCTAGACAAGGGTGTCTACCAAAGACTTATTGGTTTGCTTCTTTCCTTTTGCCTATCTCGACCTGATATATCCTATGTTGTAAGCATGGTGAGTCAATATATGCACAGTTCCAGAACTTCACATATATAGGCTGTCAACAGGATTCTTGCCTACCTAAAGGGTATCTAGGAAAAAGAATGTTGTACTCCAACCAGGGACTTCTCAAGGTCGAGGCTTATATTGATGTTGATTGGGCAAGTTCTGTGGATGATAGAAGATCCACCTTCAGTTGTTGCACCTTGGTAGGAGGTAATGCTGTGTCTTGGAGAAGCAAAAAAACAATCTATTGTTGCCCGATCTAGTGCTGAAGCCGAATATAGGGCTATGTCTCATGGTGTATCAGACTATGGTTGAGGACCTTGTTATCAAAGATTGGGATTCAAGCCGAAGCCCCAATGAAACTATACTGTGATAATCAAGCTGCTATAAACATTGCTCATAGCCTTGTTCAACATGATCGCACAAAGCATATTGAGGTTGACAGGCATTTCATTAGAGAAAAGAGAGCCAATGGAGAAATATGTGTGCCTTCTGTCAAGTCTAAAGATCAACTTGCTTTTTGCCTCACTAAGGGTCTCAACAAGCCAAAACTTGACAGAAATCTAAGCAAGCTAGGCATGATCGATATCTATGCTCAGATTGAGGGGGAGTGTTGAGAATATGTATTTGGCTTAGGGGTATTGTTGTCATTTCATTTTATTTGTATTTTGCACGCCCATATAGGGGCATAATTGTAATTGCTGTCTTTAATATAAAATGAAAATGTTTTGGGTATGAACAGTAACACACCCTCTTCTTCTTCTTTTCTTTTCTTCCTCTCACACTCTTACAACTGGATGGTTCTCTCTTTCACATCAAAACCTTCAAGAAATCCTACTTCACCACCTAAATTGTCATTCTTCCTTGTTTCTAAATCATAACTGTGTAACTGTGTAAGTACACAGCATTACATCAGAATGTCAATGAAGGACACTGAATGTACATCACTATATATTGACTGGAAAACAGAATATACTTTGTAAAGTAGCCACTAAAGGGATAATGGAAGGTAAGAATTTGGGAAAATATAGAAGATTAGGTTTTGATAAAATAAATATGATGTTTCAGGGGAAGGGGGTGATGGTTCATATTCAATCTTCTATACACTGAAACAAGGATGTCCATTGTCAGCAGCACTCTACTTCCTCATCCAACTCCTCTATTTTTTGGTTTTTTCGATTTTTCACTGCTGTAAAAATTGAACAAAAACTCAAGTAGTCAATCACTTTTTAAGACTTTTTCCATTATCTATCCTCATTAATTCTCTCTCCTGTTTCTCATTAACTCCTCCCATTGTCCTTCATTAATCACACCATTAACTCTCTCTTTCTCTCCTCCAATAACTCATGCCCCTATTTTCTCTCTCAATTAAACCTAAAATTCCTTAACTCTATATTATACCCAATAAATCTTAGGGTTATTTACTTAGACACCTCCATATCTTGTCATGTATTTACTAAAACCAATCCTATAGTTTGTGTATTACTAAAACGTTCACTATAGTTTGCAATCCCCTATAGGGAGGATATTTAAGTAAATGACCCAAGAGACTCAAGCCTAAATATTTAAGTCGAGAGGTGACAAATCTACCACCACACCATGCTTCAACCACCTGTTACATTTATGAGTTCATACATTCCACCTTACATTTTTCTCTATGCATGCCATCAACAAATTTTAAGAAACAATTGAGGAAAAATCTATGATGCCAAAAAGACATAATATCAGAAATACTTTGACCAATCAAAACCCTTTGTGAATTTGTTGAAAACCCACTTGATTGGTTACCACTATGATGATGCCAGTTGATCAGTAATAAGTTTTTCTGGTATCATGTCTTTCTAGCATCATAGTTGAAACCAACAATTGATTATTAAAATTTGTATATTTATAAATATTGATAATTATTGTATATTTATATATTTATAAATATTAACAATAATTATATTGGTAGTCCATACTTCACATAAACTATTAAAGGTATGTGTTTTTGTGTTTATATACATCATTTATAGTCATCTATGACCTAGATTCAGTGTTACCTATGTAACTTTTAAAACTCATCTGAGCTTTCAAAATGTAACCATGCATATCCCAATACATCTTTTAATTTTTTTTTTTTGTTTTTTCATAGTCCTTGCATTTCTAATACTCTGAACTTAGTGAGTTTTTCAACATTTTTGTTGCCCTAAAAATTGAACAAACAACATATCAGGAATGCTTGTTTAAGATTCGATTCACATTAAATAGGATGAACATGCCTTGCTTAAAGAGCAACTCTTCGAGTTCTCATTCATATGAATTGTTTTCTTCTCATTTATCCAAAGTTCAAATTCACATAAACCATTAAAGAACCTTCCATTACTTGCTAGTAGGTGGTCAAGATTCCATTAAACATAGATGTTCATTGGTTCAAAAAGAATTCCAACCATTTTCAGCTCAATGAATTTGCTAATGCAACCCCTTTGTGTGATTCAAGATTCATGAGTGAAAAGGGTTTCCTTAGACCCATAGTTTTGATGGTTATTTTAATCTTGTTTTAAAGTGACAGGTGACCCGTATAGTACATGGTACTCACTTATTCATATAGTATGCAGGTGTCAAATAATTAATCATTAATCATTATACTTAATTATAATTAATACTAATTAATTAACCCATTTTTGAATGACCTATGTAGTATACAATACTTGATTATCCAATATGGTATACAAGTGCAAGTTAAACCATGTTCTATATGGGTACCAAATAATATTATTATAATTAATGATTTTAAAATTAATTTAAACAAAAGTCAAATTAACAAAAACCAATAATATTATAATAATAATAATAACGTTATAATAATTGTAATTATTTATTAATTTTGATAAATTCAAATTAAATTCCCTTTAATTATTTGAAATAAATTCCATTTAAAAATGAAATTAGAATTAATATATGATTGTAATTATCTTTAGGGTTCAACAATGATACGGGAAAAACTTGTAACCAATTAAGTGGTAACCAATCAAGTAGTATGTATCAAAATTATGGGTGTTTTTATTGGTCAGAGCTCTTCCAGTATCATGTCTTTCCATCAGCATATATTTTTCCTTATCTTTAAGCTTAATGATAAAAACTTAAATTTTATTAATTTAAAACCCATTTAAATTGCATTAATAAAAGTTATAATTAATTAATAGAAATTAATAATTTTTTAAGTTTTATTAATAGTTAATACAACTTAACAAATTCTGCCTGACCCAAAATGCTTGGGTATTAATTCAAACAGCTTGGCCTGCCTAATTTAGAACGTCCAGGGCTCCTACTTCAATTTTTCTTAACAAAGCTTGTGCATCACACAGGTCCCAACTAATTTGTTAGTTAAATTGAAGGCTTATTAGAAGTACAGAAAAGAAATTTAGATGCTCAAAATAAGTTCTATCAGATTTCTTGGTTATATTATTAGGTGCTTTTTCAATGAAAACTGAATCTAAAGGCTTGGTTGGTTTGTACTTGCTTCCCAATTTATTGATGTATTTTCTACTTTTCATTTTCAGATGATCATGTTCCTAGCAGAAGAAAGTAGACATTTTGGTTGCACAGAAATTTTCAAGGAGCCTTCAAAATTTGCTTTGTCAGATTACTATGAAGACCATTTCACTGTGCCCTACCAAAGGATTGTTCTTGTGACAAACAAGCGTGTCATGTTGTTGCAGGTTAAAAAACAATGAGTTTGGACAGTTTATTTTCTAGTTTGTTTGTTTATTCCTATAGCAATAATACATGCCTGGACTTGACCATCTATTCCTCTTTTTCTGGTCCAGTGTCCGGCTCCAGACAAGATGGATAAGAAACCTTGCAAGATCATGTGGGATGTACCCTGGGAAGAGCTAATGGCACTGGAGCTGGCAAAAGCAGGCTATCCAAGACCCTCTCATTTGATTCTTCATCTCAAAAATTTCAATAGATCAGAGAACTTTGTCCAACTGATCAAGTGCAATGTTGAAGAAGAATCTGAGCAAAGAGAACCCCAAGCTGTTAGAATCTGTTCAGTAGTGTACAAGGTGTGGAAGGCACACCAGTCAGACATCAGAAGCCTAGTTTTAAAGGTAAGTACTCGTGGACTAACATGATCCAACCAATAGCTAGCTTGTTTCTTGTGCTAGTCTAATTCCCCATATGCAGGTTCCATCAAGCCAGAAGCATGTATATTTTGCTTGGGGTGAAGATGAAAGGGATTCACGTATGCAGATTAAACCCATGATCAAGTCAAGAAAGATATCTTCAGTCAGTTCTCTTTCTGGCGAGAAGAAATTTGTAAAACATAGCATCAATTTTCAGAAGATCTGGAGCAGTGAGCAAGAGTCAAAAGGACGATGCACATTATGCCGAAAGCAGGTGCATGTCTAGTTATTGCACTCTGACTTTTTAAAATACATTTTTTATCTCCTATGATAGGTAAAATCTTAATAGGAATATGTCTTGATTTCTTTAGGTTCCGGATAACGATGGAATATGTAGCATTTGGAGACCAATTTGTCCAGATGGGTAATTAAATTTCAGTGGTTCTGTTACTCAAACTTCTTTCATTTCATCAAATTTTGGATTCTTATTTTACTTACCATTCCTTAGTTAAAGGTACACAACATATGGTGCTGATATTAGTACTAGTTACTGGATGACCACTTGCATGGTACAACCATCTTTTTTCTGATAATAGGGTCATTCCATTAATCTCTAACTATACTTTTGTTTTTACTTTTACTATAAGAACATTATAGAAATTGAAATTACACCAAATTTAGTTTTCAGTTCAACTCCACTAAGCCTTGTCCCAATTATAAGGGATCTGCTTCATGAATCCTGTTCTGGCATTATGCTTTGTTCAGTGCTAAATCCATTCTTAAATTATGGGTTCTGAAATGGTTTCTCACTACTTCAACCTATGTTATTTTTGGTCTGCTCCTAGTTCTGTTACACCCTTCAACTTGTAATAGATCACTTCTAACTGGTGATGCAGATGGCCTTCCCTGCATTGACCAAACTATTTTAGTTCACTTACTCAAATTTTATCACCTATAAGAGCTACTCCTAGGTTCTTTCAGATAATTTAATTTTTTATCCCATTCCCTATTGTTTTCCCACTCATCCATCTCAACATTCAAACTTTTGTTACAGTTATTTTTTGGATATGTTGTTTCTTGGATGCCCAACACTCTGCTCCATGCAACATTTCTGGCCTTAATATTTATTAGTTTCATTTGGTCCATTGTATTCTCTTATCACATAGGACTCAAATGCACCCATCCATTTTTCCAAGTTTGCTCTAATTCTATGGATGACATCCTTCTCAATCTCTCCCTTGTTATGGATTACCAAACCAAGGTACAAAAGAGATCACACTGAGATATCTCTTGGTCTCAAATCCTAATCAAACCCAGATTTTCACTCCTGTTGTTATAAGAAAGTTCACTTTGGAAGGGTTGGTCTTGCTTGGGTGGTTATAGTAATCAAATATAAGACGGTTTCCATCGCTAATGAGATCTTCTAATGAATCATCCCTATAATTGATAATAGACTTTGGTTACCCAGCATTTTAGAAGAAAGTAAACAATCTAGTTGGTTTAATCAATGCAAAAAGAAAAGAAATACATTAGGCTCAGTTTGGAAAGAGTACAAATGCAAATATGTACAGTACAAATACATACAAAATACAAGGTTTTGCACTCTAGATATTTGTATTCGTACTCCTTCCAAACTGAGCCTTAGGAAGAGAATTGAGAGGGAAAATGGGTAGATAGTATTTTTAGTTGAGAAAATAGAAAAAAAAATGACAAACTTAGGGTGCTAGATTTCTAGTCACCCAAAATTGGAGAATAATATGAAAAAAAAATCCCACTTGATTTGACAAAGGATGAAGAGAAAATGATGATGGTTCTGTGTCGCCTTTGTTGCATTGAATTCTTCTAAAACCCTTAGGGAAACTAGGACTTCTATTTGCTCAATTAGCTTTTCATTTTAATCTTTTTATTTGACCCATAATTACCAAAGTGCCCTTCCCAAATGTTTTAAACTTAAAAAATATAAACACTTTTTTGTATCAAATAACTCAATTGTTGTAGGTTTTAGTGGTTTATACCTTTATGCCTCACACCTTGAGGCTTAGGGCTTACACCTCTTTCTAACAAAAGTCTTTAGCTTCAAACCAAAGTTATGAGTCTTAAAACCTTGAGGCAAAATTTGAAAGCCTTGTCTCAAGACTTAAGACTTTTAAAACCATGATATATATATATATATGGTCGAATACCTATAGACCCTACATCTAGACCAGAGCCTTTTTATTTTATTCATTATTTTTTTTTTTTTTTTTTTTTGGGGGGGGGGGGGGGGGGGAAATTTAATTTTTTTTTTTTTTTTTTTTTTTTTTTTTTTTTTTTGGGGGGGGGGGGGGAGGGATAATTCAATTTATTATTCTTTTTTATGGTTTTTTTTCCAACCAACAAGCACTGCTAATATCTTACAATAATGCATGCACTTTTGTACATAACTGTGATTGCTTTCTAGCAGGTATGTTTCCATTGGGGATATAGCCCGTCTTGGCTCCCATCCTCCAAATGTTGCTGCTGTTTATCATAACATTGATGGTCTGTTCTCTATTCCGATGGGATTTGATCTGGTAAGTCCTAAACTCACAGTCAAATGTGTAATTTACTAGCAATGGTTTTGAGCCTTAGGAGTATTTCTTCCTATGCTTTGTTGAGGTTAGTGATGCAAAAAAAAATCAATTATAAAAGAAAAATCAAATAATACTGAAATTGTCGATGTTCTTGACTATATACTATGCCTAATATTCATTTTCATTGTGTGTTAGTAATATCTAGGATTTACAGTTTTCTTCTCTAGTAATGGAATGTGAGCTAACTTCTCTCTTCTTCCAGCACCCATACAGCAAAATCAGTGAAAGATAAATGGCATTCATTATATCCATCATAAAAATAAGTAATGTTCATTGTAATGTGCTGACCAGACTTATTCTTTTAGTACACAATTTCATGTCGTTTTTCTTATTATTCTCATATTTTGCTGGCCTCACTTAACCTTCTAAAGCAATATTATTTTTATTATTTTTCCAGGACAAGATGTAAACTGTAAAGGTTGGGAGATCTATGTTACTTTCCTGATCCTTACACCTAGATAACTTATTGGGCAATTCCCATGTACATGTTTTGCGTGGTTGGTATTGTATGACTCATATACAACGTATACAGCACATACAACAACTAGAATATGATAATAGTACCAGTCCTCCCACAATTTCATAATGATAAATTTATTCCCACAATGCTTATAAGAGAAATGCATGGACATAGAGTCATAGACTGAAGACTCACACTTCAACTAATATATACAAACTGTATTTTGGTCTTTCGAATAAGTTCCCATCACCTTTCTGCTAATCTAGGGCTCCATGAAACTGACCAACCAGAATATTACTACAAGATTTTCTTGCTCCCATCTTGTATTTACTGCATCTTCTACTTTGGTCTGTTTTATCCAGCCATTAATGTAGCCCAACTTCCCCTACCCTCAATGTAGAACTTATCTGATTGGGACTAGGGGTGAGTATGGGTCAGTTCGGTTCGGTTTCATGGCAGAATTTGGAACCGGAACCTACCTTGTGAAGGCCGGTTCTGGCCTTGGTGGTTCCAGGGTCGGTTCCAGGGTCTACCCATGGAACATGTTCTTTCTTTACCTCCCCCTTCAAGAAATAAAAATGAAACATGTCATTCAAAACTTGATTTTCAATAATGATATTATATTGTTTAAAACTCATATTATCTTTTACCGATTAAACTAAGCAATTTAATATGTAGATTATCATAATATATTAATATATGGTTGAAAATTTGTCATTATAATTTAAATTTTGTAAGCATTACCTTTTACATTATTTATTATACACATACAAATATTAAAATGAAAACAAATTATCAAATCACTTAAGTAACCCAATGGTCAAGTGATACCATGGCTTTTGTAACCATGAGTGCTTGGGCTCAAATCTTCACATCCTTAAATTTTTTTTTGTGGTTTATTTCAAGGCAAGTCCAGTTCCAAAAGACGGTTCCACCAAGGCCAACCAAGGTCGGTTTGGGTAGGGTAAACCCCTAGACCCTGGAACCGACCTGGGTGGGGGTCAGTTCCAAGAATTCAGAACCATTCGGTTCCGGTAGGGTTGGTTCCAAGAATTCTACCCTGTAACATATCAGGTAGGGTCGGTTCAAGGCTGGTTCAAGGTCAGTTCCATTCTGTTCCGGGTAGAACCTACCCATTTGCTCACCCCTAATTGGGACCAATGATCCCATTCAATTTCACTGTAGTTATTTGTTTTTTGGACTATCATGATTGATTACAGACACAGAACCAGTCCCTGAACTAATCTTGATCTCATTATCAGTTCCAAGAGAAGACATTATGTCAAATAGATGCTGTCCAGTAATCTTCCCAACACTCTAAACTGAAAATAAAACACTTTCAACTCTCCCAATCACTTCCAACAACCAAACATAGCCTAATACACATCACACAGTTAATATTAGAAAACTTCCCCTACCCCTAGAAAACTTCCCCTACCCCCCTCCTCCCAAAGTATGTAACTGATTTTTTTGGGGGGTATTTAACACAACACTTTAATATAATGTAGCTGATTGAGGACGACTCTGGAAAATTGATCCCATTCAATTTCAGAGTAGTTATTAGCATTTTTGGAATATTACAATTTTTGACTGTTTATAGATAAGGAACCAGTCCGTGAACTACTATTTATTCATTATCACTTCAAAAAGAAGGCATTATGTCAATAGATGCTGCACAGTAATCTTCATAAAATTCTAAACTGAAAATAAAAGACCTTTTCAACTGTCCTTATCACTCCCAACAACCAAAAACAGCCCAATAGACCTCATAAATTTACTGTCAACCTTTGAAAACCCATCCACAAAGGTTGCAAAACGTGGCAGTCTGAAAAGAGGAGAAATTGCAGGCTGGCAGTAAAACAGGACCATGTGATAGCACCATAAAAAAAAGTACCACCACTTCTGATATGCTTAGAAATATCATATGGATCAAATCAAAAAGATCTTACAACCAAACATGGCATCACTCAAAAACATTTAGATTTGCAATTTTCCTTTCACACAAAAAAAAGAGGTTATATACTAGAGCATCATCATCCTCACTTAATGGTATGATTCTCTCCTTAAAATTTTGGTGGTGGGCTTTGTGTAGTGAATGAGGTGCTGTGGGTGATTAGAGATGAAGAATATAGATGAAAAAGCAAGTAGAATGTTTGCTGTCCACCAAATAATGAGTAAGGAATCAAAAAGAGGTGAGCTCTTGCTTTAGGGTAAACAGCAAAAAGACTGATTGCTTAGGAGAGAGAGAGAAAGAGAGAGAGAGAGAGAGAGAGAGAGAGAGAGAGATTTCTGGCAACAACAATGACACTTATAAGGACCAAGTCCTAAACAACTCTAATAATACTTTCCTAGTCCTAATAAAACTAACTTAATTTAAAGACATCAGAAATTACTAAAAATGGTAATACAAGAATTATTATAAATAGTAAGTCTGAAAGTTAACATAAATAGAAATTTCGAAATAGTAATAAAACCCAATTCTTAAGACACTGACAACTAGAAAATAAATAAATAACTGAAACAGTACCAATATCCTATAACCCAAAAATTCTGAAATTGGCATAGGAATTGGAAAATTGGTTTGTTTCCCCATGAATTCTTTCCTTGATTCTGCATCTGCATCACCTTCATAGCCTCCATCATATGTACAACATTTGCTGATGTCATCTGATGCCATGCTGGCATCAACAAGAACTAGTAAGAGAGATGGCTATGGTCTTTTAGATCTCCAATGCATTGATATTGGTTCTAATATCCTTTGAGAAAGTACAGAATAAGAAAAGAATAAAGAAGAGAGGTTGAATGTTAACATCATTATTCAGTCAACCCAAAGGGGTGAAATATTTATATCAATGTGAGGTGAAATTACAAGAATGTGAATAACATGTATTCTAACAACTGTTAAATGTTTCCATAGCTCACATAAGCATGTCATGTAAAAGGAATGTGCCCAGAACAGATAATGTAAATAGAGGCTCATGTAAATATATATAACTAATAGTTGGAAACAAGCAATGCATACTCAATTCAACCAAGCCTTGTCCCAACCATATTGGGTTCGCCACATGAATCATCTTCTACCATTCCACTCCTGTAGGGAACACCCTAGCATGAGCATGAAATTATAAATCAAGATCCATGTCTTTCATCAAAATATTAAATGGCATCTGACACTTCCTAAACTTCAGATGGTGTGGTAATCTCACATGTATTGCATCATTTAGATATTAGAAGCATGATTTGGTGAGAGACTATTCAAGTGTGGTGAGATCTGTCATTACAGTTACCTGTTTTGAAAGAGAGTATGCTTCTCTCCATTGTGCAGGTGTGGAGGAACTGCTTAGATGACTACACAACTCCTGTCTCAATTTGGTATCCACGAGCACCAGAAGGATTTGTATCACTAGGATGTGTTGCTGTAGAAGGCTTCACAGAGCCACAACCCAATTCTGTATACTGTGTAATAGGGACTCTAGCTGTGGAGTCTGTGTTTGAAGAGTTAAAGGTCTGGGAGGCACCAGATTCATACCCATGGGCATGTCATGCTTATCAGGTCCAAAGTGAAGCTCTACATTTTATAGCTCTGCGACAGCCAAAGGAAGAATCTGATTGGATACCCATGAGAGTTGTTGATGACCATCAATTATCCGAAGAATAAGAAGCTCAATAAATTGTGTGAACAATTATAATGACCATCTCCCATGTTATATACATAAAAAAAAATTCCGCAAGATGGAACTATTTTTGGTTTGTCTACTTATTTGTGATTATGTTGAAGTATCTAAGGTTGTGTTTTGATAAGTTTCAGAATTTATGCTTTCAAAGCCCAGAAGTAAGGAGTCCCAACTTTAGGTCTTGTGCTTCAGGGGTTAAAAGTGTTTTGCCAATTTGCCATCAGATTATGATGTTCTTTTAAAAGCAAACTCTTACCAAATTCTTAACACTTTTTGACTCTTGTTTTTCATGGCCCAAAACTCAAAAGCAAAAGCTTATCCACACAACCTTGTTTTTTCCATCATTTCAGTGAAGAAATGACACCGAGAGGCCAAATAGGTTTCCCAAAATGCAATCATAAATCCAAGGATTATCAGCCATCCAATTTTGGGTTAGACTTAGACCATATATGACACATCAATGGCAATGAATGCGTGTGTACTGCATGTAAAAACCAGCATTATTTCACAATTGGTCATTCCTAACAACATTGTTTTAGAAGTCAAATACTAGATCAGTGTATGTCTTGCAACCAATCTAAATGTGAACATCTGAACCATTATCAGGCGTCAAAAAATAATCTGGACCATTATCAATATATTTTAATCAAATAGCAGTAAGGGTGAATTCACATCTTCATTTGTGCGAACTGCTTTGTCCGTCCAGTTTTATTATTTATTGGTCAGGATAGATCTTTAAATGAAATTAGCGAAGGAGCCCTAGACTTTCCAAAGCTTTTTTATCTTCACATAGAAAATGCTAACTTATTTCAGGAGGATTCCCAATTGATAATCTATAGTCTTCTCATAATTTAAAATTACATAAACAGTGGCTTAATGTTGTCAATTGATCCTAGAATAATTACACATGGGTGAGGATGGTATTTTTCCCCATCCCCATTGGATCCCAGCCTCCCTGACCTGATGAGGTGGGATAGAGAATCCTCAAAGTTATCTTCGGGGTCCACTATGATATGGAAAAGATATGGTATCCAAAAAAACAACTGACCAATAAACCAGAATCATAAACGCGATAGTGAACATGGTGTTATTTATCAAAATTCATGGGTGGGTTTTGATTGGTCAAAACACTTTTCATACCATATCTTTTCTGCATCATAGATTTTCCCTTATCCATATAGGCCAAAATGATTAAGAGTTCTGATACACCAACACACAGAACAGCGTTCCAATCATCCATTGCAGCCATACATTGAGAATATCTCCCATGAATTGCAAGGAAGATGTTCCTGATGTGAGGCTGCATCCCTACCCAATGGTTGGAATGGGATCTGCTCCTCACAAATGGGTGCCTTACAGGCACATCCACCATGCATTGGGAACATCTCCCATTAATAATAACTTATAAATATGGGAGATGTTCCCAATGCATGGTAGGATGTGCGTGTGAGGCGCCCTGTGTGAGGAGTAGATACAGTCCACTGGCCCACCACAAGCCAACATGGATGAATTTCTGCCAAATCCTTTTTATTATTATCAACTTTCTTGTTTAAGCCTTTGTCTCAACTGTATGAATTAGCTACATGAATCCCATTTTTGCCATGCTATTTTGTTGAATGCCATACCTATCATCAAAATCAAATTATGGGTGGTTAAATCATTTCTTATCATTTCAGTCTTCCCTTAGTTCTTTTAGCCCCTTGCAATAGATCACCTTTTCTAATAAGTGTTGTAGTCCTACGCCTGTCTCATCACAATCCACTTTCTCTTATTAATCTCCTATCTATCAGGGTTACACTTAGGTTACTTTATATAATTTCATTTCTGACCATGTCTTTTTGTGGTTTTACCACTCATCCATTATTTAGACATACCATTTTTGCTATACTATGTTTTTTTTTTTTTGAAACATGGTGCATCTATGTACAATATAATGGTATTATAATTATTAATTTCTCTATTATCTAAGGCAAACTTGGGGATGTGGGCAGTCAAGGTGAAGGTAAAGTCAATTTTAGTCATTGTGATTTCTTTATGTTTATGTTCTTCGAAATGAATTATCAATCGAGGGTAATAAGAACTCTCATTTCTTGCACATTATATATATAGTGTTAAAAGGCCACGTCAGCAACTCTCTACTTCTATTCATTTTTCGTTGAACTCTCTCTCTCCTATCCATCTAAGCTCTCCCATTCACTCTCTTTCCTCCTCTTCCCCTACCCAGCCCACCCGTTAAGCCACGTCATCAACCCTTTCTTTCTGGTAATTAAGCACAACTAACCTCTCCCTAGATTATAGTGCCAATCTCTCTCTTCAACTTTTACGAGCTTCTTCACATGTGTCGTTCCCTACCGCTCAATCCAGAACCACCAGATATCTTTGATAATGGAGTTCTCGCTGGAAAGGAATGTACACCGTGAAACCACTGGCCAACAATATCGTTACAGCAAGGTCGAGCGAGGAATCACCTTTTTCGCCATCCAAAATGAACCAAAATAGGGGAAATTTTTACCCTCATAACATCAAAAACACCGACTAGATTGGTCATTTTTCTGACATCAAATCCCACTAGAAATAGTCCATGTTATGCATCATCTGGAAGTCAAAGCAATCAATCAAAACTCTTTAACATTTCCAAACAAGAGCTTATGGGCAGAGACAAAAAGGCAACATTTAATGGAGATCAATCGTCCAAGAAGATCTCGGACGACAATACGAAGCAGCCGAGAGAAGAAAGTGAATCAGAAGAAGAGGATTATAAAAACGATAAACTAGGCAACCCAGAACCAGGAGTTACTGGAAAACTCACTACATAATATCCAACATGTTCTTGGGGTGAACTGGATAGAAACAATCACCGAAGAACTCACCCCAAGGTCGGTCTTCCTCACCTGTGTTGAACGACACTGTTCGTCAGTGGATAACTACCTATCCCATCTAAAACTTCCTCCTAAAATATATCATAATTTATCTTACAATAAACTATTTAATTCTAACACCTGTTTTCCACCCCATATCTCTCTCTATTGTTTCCTATTTCTTAAAAAAAAAGTGTATGAATGAACCAGGGGTGTTTTCGTCATTTATAAGTCAGATTATTTTGGTCTTTTGAGTCTTTTTATAAGGAGTTTATTTGAATTTAGTTTTGTTCTTAAGGAATGGTTGGTGAGAGGGAAGACATTCTAGGGGCTTATGTGTAAATATTTTAATTCTGTAGGGGTCTTTTTGGTTCTTTCCCTCTTGTTTGAGTTGTAGTTAAGCTCCAGGTAAGGTTTTCAAGTATTGGGAGCTTGGGTTTTGAGGAATCAGCCCATCTTGGCACCTTCCAATCCCTCCATCACTGCTACGTGTCTGCATGGGAGGCTAGCTTGCTGCCATTATTACTATAGTGGAACTGTTCCAGGAGGAGTTTTATTTCAAGTTCAAGTCTGAAATCCCTAAAAAATCCAACTTATTTTGTTGTTTTCAGCTTGGTATTTCTTGTACTTCTTGTTATATACTTGAGGTACTACTGCATGTAATTGTCTTTCTGTCTACATCAAGTGGTATTAGAACAAGTTCTTTCCTTGGGTTTGTTGCAAAGTTCATCTCTTTCTTGTGTTTTCTATATTATCATGGCTGCAAGGGGTGGACATGGTAGGTGTGGTAGAAGACCACAACATGTTACTGTAGAGGTTTTCCAAGAGGCTATAAAAGGACTTCAAAAACATCTTGCACAACTTATAGCTCAAAATGCTGCTAGGGATGGTGATGTAGAAAATGATTTAGCGCTAGGAAGAAGAAGACAAGCTCCTACAATTGATAAACAACTCACTTACATTATTAGTGAAGAATCAAGTGAAGACATTGAACAACCAAAGGGTGATCAGCATGGAAGGAATAACAACCAACGGTGGGAAGACCGAATAGTGCAAGCTTTACTATCCAATTAGGGTCATGGTGTTCTACTTCATATTTTTGAGTTTGATGGTGAGTTAGAATTTGAAGAGCTTCTAGAATGGTTGAACAGTATTGAAAATTATTTTGATGGAAATAAATTAATGAAAAAAGAAAAGTGAAGCTTGTAACAGCCAAGATGTGTGGGATAACCTTAGATTGGTGGAAAAATTACCAAAGGGACAAAGAAAGGAAGGGGAAAAGAAAGGTTAATTCTTAGGGAAGAATGAAAGAGAAATTGAAATCCCAATTCTTACCACCAGACCATAAGCAAACTCTTTACCAAATGGTGCAAAATTTAAGGCAACAGGAAAAGAGTGTGAAGGAGTACACAAAAGATTTTAATATATTAATTCTTTGGAGTAATATGTTAGAAACTGAACAACAAAAAGTTAGTAGATATATCAATGGTTTGAGGTTGCCAATATAAGATCAAGTTAGCCTACATTGCCTGTGTAAGGTAAAGGATGCATATCAATTAGCTCTAAAGGTTGAACCTCAATTGAGTCAGAGCTCAGGGCAGAGGCTAAGTGCTGTCCAAGGTACACCTTCATCAGTAGGTTGAAGTGTTGGGGCTAATAGGGGTCATATGATCAACCAAAACCTACAATCCAAAGGACTTCAAATGCAACAAATAGCAGTCAAGGGAAGCCTACTATTAGATGTTTCAGGTGTATGGAGTTGGGATATTGTTCAAATGAATGTCCTAAGAAAATGATTGAAGGGCAAACACATCTAGTTGATGGAGTCATTGATGAAGGTGGTGGATAAATTACAACTTAATATTGTTCAACACCCCCAACCATATCATATTTTGTGGTTCAACAAAAGAAATGAGGTAAAAGTTTCTTCTAAATGCATAGTTAATTTTTCTATTGGTAATACATTTGAAGAATCGGTATGGTGTGATGTTGTCCCAATGGATGCATACCATATTCTCTTGGGTTGCCCATGGCAATATGACCGTAAGACCACTCATTATGGGGATAAGAACACATACAACTTTGTGAAAGACAATAAGAAGATAACCCTTAAACCAATGCAACTTGATTCATTTCCAAAGAAGGAAATAAAGCCAACCACTACTCTCTTCACCTCAAATAAATTGGCTCAAGAATATGGGAATTTGGGTGTTGTTTACATTTTAGTTACAAAAGAAGTTAGCAAAGAAACACTTGTTCCAAAGTTGGTGAAGAAGCTACTTCATGAGTATGCTGATGTGATGCTTGAAGAATTACCCGATGACCTTCCTC